ACAAGCCCAGAGATTTCGATACCGAGTTTCACAATCCAGTTAGATTCTGACTGTTAGCTTCATTCTTATATTTAGTGTTCGTGCTATAGATTCGTGAATTACACTGACATCTGCGCCTGTGTCTACTAAATACGTTACAGAGACAACAGTACTGTCGTTCACTATTTTCGCCGACGGTCACGATCGTATAAAACGCGTCTTTCGTGTCAACATAGCAATTTTGGAACTTCCTTGTTTTTGGTAACAGGCATCTTCGGTATGCCCCATTTTCTTACAATAAGTACAGATTTTTGGTAATCTGTACTCAAAAAAATACACCTAAATTGACCACAGCTTTGAATTTGTCATTCCAAAAAACCCCCGTGTATGAAATTTCATTAAATTATTTCGAATCAGTCGAAAGATATTTAAGAAAATGCGATTTATTTTCCCAACTTTGACACCCTGTATCTCGGTAACGAAGCACTTGCGGACCGATGTTCATATGCACTTTTTTGCTTAAAATATGACAAGGAATCACCCCTTGAAATTAAAGTTATCACTTAAGATACACCCTGTATATTGTTAGAAATCGAGCGAAGACCGATAATGTGAACACTTAACCCGAGAGGCAAGGGCTAAGTAAAATAAACAAATTCCTCGGCATTCAGCACTCGACGCCCTAGTGACTAGCTGTTTGAAGTGCTTTATGAACTTATTATAATGCAAACTAAAAACTTGTATTTAGTTTAATATATTGAATATTCGTTGATAATTAGTGTGTTTCTAACATCAGAAAGTGGGAAGTCTGAACTTGTGTGCTTGTGACAAAGTGCTTTAGAAAATAAAATTAATATGCAAGATTCGATAGAGCGACATCGAAGCTCGCGTGCAAGGCGTGGAGTCACCCGTCCGTAGGAGCCTGACCCGACGTCGTCGTCGAAGAGATACCTCTTGGTCTGGGGAGGAGGATGTCGACAGCAAGAGGTATGGCAGAGGTCATGGCCAGCGCTGGAGCAAGCGATACTCCAGGTAACCGGTGAGCAGGGAAGTTCGCCCAAAGAAGACAGGGCGTTGGCCAGGCGACAGCGCTTGAATTCTGCAAGCCCGGTGCATGGCAGCGACCGGAAGCGGAGGCATAGAGGCACATGAGCGGTAGTCTGTCACCCTAGTGCTGAGAGTCTTTCGCAACCACGACCGCCCCTAGGTCATGGCGTCACAACTTGAAAGGTTGGTCGAGACGTGAGTAATGTATCCCTAACTATAAATATTATTCCAGAATTTAATCCATTGTTGTGACGTAAATAAATGGTAGTTAACTTTGTAGTTGAACAGGGTGGATCCCTGGTACTTTGTTCTAGTACAGAGCGGAGTTTTGCTCCGGCAGAGTGGTATTTGCTCTGGACAGGTAGACTGGAATTTGGTCACCTGGAGGTATTTTTATTTGAGTGGTATTTGCTCTGGACATATAGACTGGAATTTGGTCACCTGGAGGTATTTTTAATTTGAGTGGTATTTGCTCTGGTCGGGTGGACTGGAATTTGGTCACCTGGCGGTTTTTTATTTTTATTAAGTATGTTTTTATTATTATTCCCATTATTTTATTACTTTATTATAATTATGTGTTTTTTTTCTTTTTCACCGCAGAATATTGTAGGTTAGAGCCCTGGTATTTTGTTTTAGTTCAGAGCGGAATTTTGCTCTGGCAGAGTGGTATTTGCTCTGGTCAGGTAGACTGGTAGTGGTCACCTGGGTCTATTATTCAATGTGTATTTGTTTTGTTATTATTGTTACACACGTGTACCCTTGTATATTTTCATAGGTGAAGTAGTAGCATAATCACAGCATACAAAAACTGATTTCAGGTTGTCAAATGCTTGTTCGATTTTTTTGCTCTAGGTAATGGGTCTCCCTGTATATTGTTAGAGTGGGACACTCTAAAGTCAGGAAAGGCCGTGTTAGAAATCGAGCGAAGACCGATAATGTGAACACTTAACCCGAGAGGCAAGAGCTAAGTAAAATAAACAAATTCCTCGGCATTCAGCACTCGATATTCACCATTCAGCACTCGGCATTCGGCATTCGACAGCAGACGCCCTAGTGACTAGCTGTTTTAAGTGCTTTAGGAACTTATTATAATACAAACTAAAAACTTGTATTTAGTTTAATATATTGAATATTCGCTGATAATTAGTGTGTTTCTAACAATTGCAATCCGCAGCACTTATTCGCTTGGTATTCTGACTGCTGAGACGTTCGAGAACATCCCATTAAAATTTGAATGATTTGTAATGGGTTCCAAACGGTGAAACTGAAACTACAATCCGCAGCACTTGTTTGCTTGGTAGGTACGCCAATTCCTGAGACGTTATCTTTAACGTCTATATTCTTATATACAGTTAAAATTTGAACGACTTGCAACTGGTTCCAGGGGGTGAAATTGAAGGAAAACTATTGGAAATTTCAAAGAAAATTCGATATCTCCCAAACTAAAATCCAGAGCACTTTTCCGCTTGGTATGCTAACTGTTGCGAGGTCAGAGAACAAACTACTCCGCGATGCATCCATTGTGGTGTTACACTTACTGTCCATCATATAATCTGCGAGTGCCCTCGTAAAGATATGCAGAGACAACTTTTTAATATAGCACCGGACCTGCAGAAAAATTTAAATAGTGTGCAAAACCGTACTTATCTTATCAACTTCGACGTCACCTGTTACATAGGTGTTGTATAACAATGAAAAAGTAATATTAACGGTCGATAGAAGGAAGCACAAAAAACAGGCACTTAGGTAGGAATTCTGGAAGGAAGCCTAGAGAGTTGAAGATAGGCAGTTGAAGTGAGAACAGTGTGCAGATAGGTAGTAAGACGATCGGCGGGCAGTGTGTCAAAGTAGTGAAAAGTCAATTGTTTAAAGTGTTATTAGTTAGCAGGTAATATTCTTTAAGTACTTTGTTGTTAATTGTTCTATGTAATCTTATGATTGTGATGATTATAGATGTTTCATGATAATAATTCTTTGTATGTTTAGCTTCCATTGCTTTATGCTCAAGGGCATATATTTTTCTAAGGTAAAATTGTTATAATTATTATTAACGATTGCTCATTATTTATTTCATGTTAAAATATATATATTGTGTGGGCGCCCAGACATTACAATAATGACTCCTTTGTTTCACATCTAACTTGTTTTTGTCATGATTACGTTGTTCGTAAAATATAGATGTTTCATGATAATAATTCTGTATATGTTTAGCCTTCATTGTCTTACGCTCAGGGGCGTATATTTTTCTAAGATAAAATTGTTACAATTATTATTATAGATTGCTCATTATTTATTACATGTTAAAATATGTATATTGTCGTGACTGCCCAGATATTGCATTAACGACCTCTTTGTTTCACATTTAACTTGTTTTATCATGATTAGGTTGTTCTTTGATTTCTTGTGCTCACTTTATGTCATACGTCTATACGAGCCTTGTTGAATTTACTAACATTTTCGCCCGTGCGGAACGAATCTGGATTAAGCTCGATTGCCTCCCGTATGGGACTCCAGTGTTATGAAGGATCTTCCGAAATCTCAACTATAGCTGGATTGCCTCCCGTATGGGACTCCAGTACCTTCCGGCTCTGCCGGCTAACTAACACCAAACCTCTTCAGTTTTACTTGGAAGTGTGTATGACTAATATGAGGTAACAGATGACATTTAGTGACACATTAAATGAGACAGGTCTTATTTATCATTAGCAAAGGTTCTTAATTTATGCCTTTGGTTAGCGGTTGTTTTGTATTTATATTTGGGTGGTAAGAGCAACGATCGTGGGTTTCTCTGCCATGCTCTTTCCCCACAGGAGCTCTAGGTGAGCCTGGCACTCTCATTTTATGTTAAATGGTTGTTAATGTTTTTGTTGTTCTTTCTATTTGTCACATGTTTAATTTGAATTGTATGTAAATAAAGGTTAGGTGTATTTACTCTGCTTTTGTTTTATATAATTAAACCATACATCCCCTCTACAAAGTTAGTAGCCAGTGCCTTCCGGTCAATTAAAAAATAGAAACATACAACGTAGGGATTCCTTATGACGATCACATATTTTTGGCCACAACTACGTTTACCTATTTTTTGTCGAACATAGGGTTGTTATACTACAATAGCAATGCTGAAATCAGAAAGACTTTGGGATTTCTGAAGGCCATTGATAAAAAGTTATGAGAAAACTACTTACCTAACCAATCCTAAACTGAAGGAGCCTATGACCTTAGCAGTATACGCTCCCAAAAAAATAGAATAATAATAATAATAATAATAATAATAATAATTTCGAATTTTCTTTGAAATTTCCAATAGTTTTCCTTCAATTTCACTTCTTGGCACCCATTGCAAATCATTCGAATTTTAATGGGTTGTTCTCTGACCTCGCAACAGTTTGCATTACAAGCGAAAAGTGCTCTGGATTTTAGTTTGGGAGATACCGAATTTTCTTTGAAATTTCCAATAGTTTTTCAATTTCATTTCATGGAAACATATTCGATTACAGAGTTTTGATCTTCACAGAACTTTATTCCTTTTTTATATCAAGTCTATTAATTTTTTGATGACAAAATCAGATTTGTATCGAAAATATGTTGGTGGCGAGAAATAAAATAATTATTAATCCAAAAAATTTACAAGAGAAAAAAACCTGAGACATGAAACTCTGGCCATAGTAGCCATAGTGATAAAATAAAGACTGCAATTATAAGGCCGTATGCAAGAAAATATCTTCTTAAGGGGTGGTACCGCTGTAAAATTATCAGAAAATCTATTTTTTTATTGATTTAAAAAATGCTTTGGACCTTCTAAAATAAGGAGAATATAGTTTTAAAATTTTTTTCTTTGAAATTCCCAGCTTTTTCCCAAGCCTGTAGGATTGCTTCGAAGCGACTACCTGGGGTAGATACCTGTTGGAAGGGTACAGACTAATGACTTACCTTTTGATTTCTAATTTCTCTAATACTGNTGGAGATGACAGCATTATAGAAGTCAAATGTTTGGAAAAGGTAGCTCTATCAGGAATTACTTTGGCAGAGGCAGTGGAGAAAAAAATGGTGCCTTGTTTATATAAAGACAAAGATGAAGTGAAATTGAAAAAAACTCATAACTATTACTATCAAGTAAGTAAAATAAATTAAAACGTGATGTATATGTAATCAATATTTCTTGTCTTTTAGGTACAAGGTCAATTAGCAATAACAGGAAGAGTCATATGTTATTTCGTAATTTACACAGGCGATAGTAATGATCTGTTGATACAAAAAATAGCTTCAGACAAACCATTTATCGACAATATGTTTAAAAAATTAGAAACATTCTACATGGACTGTTTAGCTCCTGAAATTATACTTAATAGAAGAGGAAGAAATTTGAAATGTAAAGACCCAACTTATATTTTAGAAGCGAAAAGAAACAAAGAATCAAAGAAAAACAGAAACAGGAACTTTTAAGTAATAATTGTACCTAATATAATATAATATAATATAATATAATATAGTCAATCACGTTAGATTAAATAAATTTGTAAATACAGTGTGTCCAATTAAGTCGTCACCATATAGGATACATACATACCATATGGGATACATAGGATATATATTTTATTATTGGTTTTATGACAAAAAGTTATTCTTAATAAAAAGGCTTAAAACCCAATGAAATAATCAGATTTCAATTTTTTTCAGTCGTATACGAGGTTTGTTGAAAAATGTTTTTGCTCAAGAGTAGAGTACCTTTATTTTTTACAATATCGACAATCGTTATTAAGAAAAGTTGATCGTAATAGAAAACTACGGTCAGATATATCCAATATTGTTCATCTATCATTAAAATACTCTTTAATAATTTTTGGGTACCAATATAGTATGAAATAAACAAATAAATTATAATTTAATTTTGCAAATCATAAAACATTTATTGTATTGAATTAATTTGTTCGTCAATGCATTATATATTTATTTCGATCTCTAGACGTAAATTGACGATGGCAATTTAGAGAAGTTATTTTTACAAAAATAACAGAATACGTTTTTTAATGGTAGATGGATAATATTGAATACCTGAGCGTAGTTTTATATTAGGATCAACTTTTCTCAATAACGATTGTCGATATTGTAAAAAATAAAGGTACTTTACTTTTGGACAAAATTTACATTTTTCGACAAACCTCGTATACGACTGGAAAAAATTGAAATCTGATTATTTCATTTTGGGTTTTAGGCCATGCAGTTTATCAAGATTAACCTTTTTTAATATAACCAATAATAAAAAAGTATCCCATATGGTGCCGACTTCATTGGACACACTGTATATGTATAATTAATTATTTACTACTATCGAATAATATAATATAATAAATGTAAAATTATATAATTATATAATGAATGTATTTATATTTGCTCTTTATTATTCAACTCTTACAATATTTAATAATAAATATTTTAAATAACAATTGAGTAATTTATTAACAGATTGATAAATTTGTTTGGAAATTTTTGAATTACCTCATATGAGAAATATTTAATAAATTATTTTTGGCGTTCTTTACTCGAAAATAAAAGATAACATGCCTATAGTCTATTTGTCTTCCTTTGTTTTTGTTACGTTATATAAATAACATCGCTATTAGAAAGCAAATTCACATTTTCAATCATTTGTTTCTCTGCTTGACGTTTACACAATTTTTTTATGCACAACAAATTTTTCACTGAAACTTTACTAGGAGAAAATATCTAAATATACTGAGTAGTTGAGAAATACTAGGAAAGCAATTGGGTATATTATCTGCGTGAGAAATTATTCGACCGTATTTTTTTGTTTTCCCAATGTTTTATTTTTTGGGGCCCCTTGAAATTGGGCTTACAACTTTGTATTTTGCAAATATCTTCGAAAACGTAAAGGCGACATTAATAAAATTTATATGGGGTTGTAGATAGTCTATATGAACATTATTAATTCAATAGTTTTTCCATGTATTTGAATTTTACTATTTACTTTTTCATTTGAAGTTTAATTTTACAGAAAACGTTGCTAAAGATGCAGTGTACTACCATTGACAAACTTGAAAAAGTATAAATTCATAAAATGTAAATGGTAGCTGTGAAGATAATTCAAAAGATTGAGTGATGTTGTGAATTCGTGATTTCGCTGTCACCTTATTCTCTCAAGGATTTTAATAAATTATGTAATTTAAAAAATTTTCAATTATCCATTTATCTTCTAAAGATAGTATCATAAACTTGAGATTTTTTGTAGAAATTAAATATTAAAGGAAGAAAACATTTGTTAAAAGTTTATCAATTGGTCTCCACACCTTTATTGTCTTTTTTACGGGTTACGGTTTCGGAGATATTTGCTCAAAACGAAATTTTAGGGCCAATTTCAAGGAGCCGCAGGGCCTACAAAAATTAGAAATCGAGAAACCAGAAAATACGGGTCAAAAAATTTCTCACGTAAGTAGACTGTACCTACCTAATTTTTTTCCTTGTATTTCTAAATTACCCTGTATTTAATTGGATAGAAGTGGTAACAGTAGTCTCCCGACTTTTTTTTAGAAAACTAAATACCTATGTTAAAAACTAATTTTCAACAGAATATTTGCAAAATTTGGCTCCCTGTGTAATAGAAATTGACTTTACCGCCACCTCTTAATCGAATGCTGAACTATTGTATCATAAAATTGGGTAAAATTTTTACTATCTTGACAGATTTCTAGACAATGAACTAGACGAAGTTTGTGAGATAATGAACCTTATGTAAAAATGCCGATATGTTTTTAGGTACAGAAATTTGTCAAAATAACTACTTTTTTATATTTTTTTGTACACCTAAATATTTGTATGACATAAACTTAGGTACTTAGTGCTGCATATAAAATTGTTTACTTTTGTTTTATATGCATGAGAAAATCCATGTTAAGATGTGACATTAGGTTAGCAACAAAGGTGAGTCTTAAAAAAGTATTTTTAAAGTTATAATTTTATATTAGCAACATTTAAATGGTAAGAATGAATAAACAAAAGTTTAAGGATTCTATTTTTGCATTTAGTTTTGTTCTTCGTGCGCTATTTTTTGAGATTTCAGTACCTAAAAACACTACAAATACGGGTCATTTTTTGCCAGAAATATGGCCACCTTAAACATGTCTTTGGGAGGCCATGCAAACAATAATAATAAGTCATATTATTTAATATTATATATTTTCAAATTAAGCTTACTTTTTAAAAAGAATAAGTTTTAATAATGGCTTATGCATATTCAATGGTGTATATTTATGGCTTTGCAGATAGAAATGGTACTTGGGCTAGGTGAATTTATATGGATAGATTTCCAAATCATTCAACTCCAAATCCAAAAATGATCAGTAATGCTTTTCAACGTCGGAATCAGGTTCATTTTAGAAAGGTCCAATTCCTGGAAGACCTTTAAGTGTTAGAACGCCTGAGTTGGAAGAAGCTATTCTACAGGAAATTGAAGAAGGCCCAAATACTAGTATTAGGAAGATCGCTGCAAATCTTAATGTGAATCATAAATTAGTCTGGGCCGTTCTGAAACATCAGCAGTATACCAGTATCACATACAAAGGGTTCAAGCTTTACTGCCGCAAGACTATCATGCTCGCCTACAATTTTGCCACTGGATAGTGCAAACAATTGAACAAGATGTTGACATTCCTGCTGGCATATTGTTTACCGACGAAGCTAATTTTTCCACAATAAACACGTTTGGTATGATGAAAACCCTCATGCCATAATGGAATCTCGATTTTAACATCAGTTTTCTTTAAATATATGGGTGGGTATTATTGGAAATTTTCTTGTTGGGCCTTACTTTTTACCAATAACTTTAACCGGTACCTCCTATAGACATTTTCTTGAAAACTTTTTACCTGATCTACTTGTTTGTTTAGAGGATATCTCAAGACATTAGTTTACAAGGTTCAAAATGAATCTGAGGAGCACTTGCCTCAGCAAATTATAGCTGGTTGTGATGGAAGTTCTGCACGTTTTCGAGCTGCAATTTCAAGCATGCATTTTGGCCGAAGGTTGGCCCATTTCCAACATTTGTTATAAAAAATCATAGTAAAGTAATCCCATTGTTATTATTTTGTCATTATTTTAAGTAATGTAATGAGTATTGTAAAAATATACTTGATCATTTTCGTTATTAATCGGTTTGGAATACAAAAAAGTGTAAAGAAAGAAAAAGTGAAGATAATACAATGGCGTATATGATGACCTATTTTATTTGTAATATTATACATGGTGACATATTTTTTGGCAAAATAATGAACTATGATGCCCACACCTCCACTACTGGTGGTAGATTCTAAAGCGGTTTGGAAATTAAAAATTGATTTTTTTTTAATTTTTGACACGCAGTATCTGGACAATGATTGCCCTAAGACCTTACATTTATACAACAAAAAACCCTTTTTTTGGTCACAGCATTCGCCCCTGGATGTTTTTCCTTTACTTAGCACACCCTGTATATATGTACATATTTAAAAAACAATTAATATTCTGTGAACATATTTTTTGAAAGTTTTCGAAAAGTATGTCACTTAAAAACATTTTAAAGTGTTCCTTCTTTTGGTTTCGAGCTTGTTGTTCACATCCACTTCGAAGGCATAATTTTTTAAGGAATGACTAAAACTCTTTCATTATTATCTTTAAAACAGTGAATAACTGAATCATAGCATATAACTTTTGTACTAGTTCAATCTGAACTTTGTTAACCTTCAACATTCTCTGACGTATAAACATCTTAACACAATTTATTTTCTATGATTTGTAACTAGAGGGTAACCCCCAAACAAATAAATGGTAATCGATTTCTACCCCTGAAACCCATACAATATTCAAAGGCGGAGGTTTCATCCTTCCTTCCTTCCCCGTCGTGATTACATAGAAATGTGGCAGTTAACTGTTGACGGTGTTTAACTTCTTTGAAACACAGTTCTGTTGTTTGATCTGAATTTATAAATCCAACAAGTGTCTAACGGAGATGAAAAAGAAAATGTTAATGTGTCTTCATTTATTAAAATTCATCGAAAATATATATATACAGCGTGTCCCGCTGTAAAGTCCGAAAGAGGGAAAGGTTTTTTATTTGTGGGTTTAAGACAAAAAGTCACTCTTTGAAAAAACTCCTGCTTGTTCCAAAACAGTCAAAACTGTCAAGATATTTGTCATTTTTTATACAGGGTGTTCAGTATTTAGAAAAATATTTTTAGTCGCCAAGGGTAAAGTACCGTTATTTTTGACAATATCGAAAAATATTATCAGGGATGTCATTTAGGATCCACAGGGATTAAAATTTTTTATTTTTTTTTACAATGCGGGCAGCTAATTTGTATATACCACTTTGATATGTGCAAAATTTATGCAATAATAAATTTATTTAATTTACATAAACAAGGAATAATGTAATTTAAATTTACAAAAATAAATTTTACTCAAATTTCTGCACAAATTTCCACTTCTTATTTGTGGAAGGGCGAAATCGGCGGTGACTATTGGACGTCTTCATTATAGCCATCTTTCTCTATCGCACGAATTTCTATGACTTACTTTATCGCTCTCACGTAACGGCCGATGAATCATGGGGACTTTCCGACCCTGTATATAATTTTGTACGCCGTACCAACTAGA